GGCCTGGCGGAGGGAGACCTCCTCAGGTAACGCTAAACGAGAGTGAAAAGCTGCGGGGCGTGGTGTACAATGGCAGCCACTGCGGCAGGGTCGGGGCCTGTCAAGAGACTGTCTGTATAGCCTGAGAGGACGGATGCGCGTGTCGGTGTACAAAAAAGCCGGGAGTCAACTACCCCACTCGCACTGGGGGACCTGAGATCGACCTTTGGTCGGTCGAAGCGGTGTCGTCCTAGTTGGCCTGCCCGTGATGTATGCTTAAGGAGCAAACTGAGAGACACCCAGGGTAAGAGGTGGTGAACCTCAAAAGACCAGAAGCCCCATTTATCGGGTGAAAAACGGCGTAGTGGTCTATGCAAGTAGACCTGTCGAAGCTACTTAATGTCTTTTGGGATCGACTCGAAGACCATGTCGCCCACTAGCCAGATGAGCGACGATAGCACAACGACCGCGTATGCCGCAGAGCTACGCGCGATCGAGATGGCACTGGAGTCAGTTGTGAACAGTACAGAGTCTCCGGGTCGCGCAAGCAAAGAATGGACTGGTCATCTTTGTCGACAGCCAGGCTGCGCTAAAAAAGCGCTCCGCCGACCTCGCATACCCTCAGGTCAAGTATACCTGGTAGGATGCCTGGACCTCATCCGTCGACTAGGCGGAGAAAGGAATCACAACCGAACTCAGGTGGATCCCCAGCGCACCAAGGAGTGCTGGGCAACGAGATCGTAGACCAGCACGCAAAAGATGCGGCTCAAAACCTGACGATCCACAAGACCCTCTCAATCGATACATCTGCCTCGCGGCAGCGACAAAGCGTCGATTCTGCCAAGAGGCGAGGATCGAGTGGGAGAGAGCACGGGCATCAGAGAAGAAACCGGTCGTCCGACCAGAAGGCTGATCGAGACACCGAACAAGAAAACACTGGAATACTGGTCGGGTTTACGCAAAGCAACCGCTTCCATCCTGATGCAATTGCGGACCGGGCGCATCGGACCGAATGCGAACCTGGCTTACATCAATCGGCGCGAGACCGCAAGATGCGACAGTGACTCCTGGGTAACCAGACCGTGAGACACGTCCTACTTGGAGTGCCCGTTGCATCAAGAAGAGCGCGATGAGATGCGTACCGCCCCGTCTGAGCAGGGCATCACGCTTTGTCACGAAGAATTGTTGACGCGCCTCGAGGCGCGCACAATTGTGGCAGAGTTCATGATCAGAGCCAATCTCCTGGGTCAGTCTCCAGGGCCTGGATCCAATAGCTCCTCGGAGCAGAGAAACAATGATCCCTATGGACAGTGTGACGGAAGGAGATGAATATTGCCTCGTTAGGAGTGCGGTGCCAGGTCCACTGTACTCCCTTGAATCGAACGTGGACCAGAAAGGTCTGCTGACAGCGGAAGAGGAGGTGGAGAAAGGGGAGAGCTGGGGTCAGAGGTGGGACCAGGGGTCCCAACGAAAGCGGTGAGGACCAGGAAAGTTCTATTTTCATGTGGGCCAAGTGGCTGTGGGTCATGCAGGGCCAAGTGGCTGTGGTCATGCGACCAAGTGGCTGTGGTTGAACACTTGCAGCCCGCTTTCTTTTGTCTTAGTTTATTCTACATTCGATATGGTCAGAGAAATGCTCAAAAGATGAGCCTCTCTCTATCATGTACAGGGCTGGATACCCATTTTTAGCCGTGGGCAGGCTCGATAGCACTCCCGCATAGCAGCATTTACATAGAGCAAGCTACATCGGGCAAATGAATTCATCATCATCATCATCATCATCAAATAATCTAGCTACAGCAGGTTTTGGGTTGGATGATCTGGGCTTTCAGGGGGTTTAATAGACTATATGGCAATACTAAATTGTGTTATTGACCGCCATTTTCAAAATATTATTTATTGTTGCACATTTGAATTTTCGAAATTATATTCGAGCCCGCGAGCCCAGAAAAGATAAGCGATTGATTCTCTCTACCCCGACCACTTGCTAAATCGTCTTTTTTTACTGTATAACATGGCTACGAGGGATTTCTTTATATACGAGACTGCTGCGCACAGACTATCCTTTCCAAATCTTAAAAGCAATAAACGTGACAATTTGACATATCTGCTGACCCACCGGATTGGGCAATCAAGGGGAATGCCGAGGATGGCATTGCCACATAATTTTAGAGAGCGTATCGTCTAAAACGTGAGACAGCAATCTGAACATTTCGCGGACTCACTGTAGGGCGTATCTCGAATCTTTCCGCTCACTCCGATTTTGATTGGCCCGGTTTGTCATCCCAGCCAATCAAACATAATAGATTCTCTTGTCTGATTCGTCAAATACCCACTAGCCTCGCGGCCGTCTACTTTCGCCAGGAATTCGGCGCCAACTATCTCGGCAAAGGACACGGAACGCTGATGAAATCTGAAGAGACTGGTACATTTGGCTCTCACGACAATGGCTTGGACACGACAAGCAATAAAACGTTTGCTTCCAGTGTTCAATCATGGCTTGACAGGTGTCCAAACACCCTCGAGTCAACCGTGTTCAGCGCGTTGTCCGAGAGCCCAGCCAGCCACCCACGGGAAAGCCTTGCTTCGCAGCCCCGATTGAAGAATTGCTATCCCCACGAGGACCAAATCGCGAGATTTGGACGTCAAATAGGAGAGTAAGTCGAGCATGCGACATTTGCCGTGAGCAAAAGGTCAAATGTAGCGGCCATCGGCCCGCATGTCAACGATGCCACGAAGGCGACATCACTTGCATCTACACGGACGGAAAGCGAGAGCAAGAAGCCAGGTTCAGTAGCCCAGTCTCAGAAATAATTTACGTATGATGGGCTGACACTATATTCAGAAAATCGGCGGTTCTCATGTCTCAGGTTCGGGTGTATGAGGACCTCTTACGTAGTCTGCATCCTCGTCTTGACCGTCAATCAGCAATACAAATTGAGAAGGTCATTAGTGAAGTAAGCTAACACGGGATAGATGAAACTTTCTGACAAGTATCTAATGATAATTAGTTTCCAGGCGCACCTTTGACATCCCCGAGCACAACCCCCGATAGCCAGCAAGTGCAGAGAAACCCTATACAGCCGACCGATCATACCATTGAGGACCTCAACCGTGACAGAAATACTCAGGTCGCAGGGCTCTTGGGTAGGCCATCAGAGGTAGCGTGGCTCTCTAGTCTCCAATGTGAAATGGACCAACACATGAAACCTGAGTATCCATTGAGAAAGTCGAAACAGATGCTGCTCTTGTCTGCCAACTACTTCCTCGACGGCTTACAGAGTCCTCTGGCCCATCTGGATGACTTTCCGGATTGGCCCACGGAAGAAGCTGCTAACCAATTGGTGTATGGTTACTTTCATGTTGTGCACGCGTCGTTTCCATTTGTTGGGAAGTTGTACTTTTTGAAACAATTTCGCGTTTTTTATGCGAATCCGGGAAAGCGACCGGGCTGGGCATGGATGGCAGATTTCAATCTAGTGTTGGCTATCGCAACACGTCATAGCTCTCTAATGAGAAAGGAACCGGAAGCTGGCACTGGCGCACACATGTATACTTCACAAGGGCTTGGCAGCTCTACACGAGGGATTCTGCTGAACGCGACCACCCAAATCTACAACAGGTGCAGGTCGAGTCCCTTATTTCACTATACATGCTTTCAATAGGCCATATCAATAGGTATGTGTATTCAACTTCTGCGCTTTGAAAATTCGGGACTGATGTGATGAACAGGGCGGTGGCGAATGTGCGGCGTCGCAATGAGATCAGCAGTGGCCATGGGAATCCATCTTCGTAGTGAGAGTGAAAGCATTTCTTACATATCCAAGGAGACAAGATATCGTCTTTGGTGGGCATTGTATTTGCTTGACATTCAACTATGCTCGATGACTGGACGCCCACCCAACATGAGCCTGGAATACTGCACGGCCTTTCTCCCAGCACCCCACCGAGAGGAGGACTTTCAAGGAAGACCGTGTTTCACAGTTCATTGCAGACGACGATACTCGGAAGGCTCTACTTGCATCTTTCATCTCACGAGCGTTCAAACCAGACGGGGAAGGGAATAAGCAACATGCAGAACCTTCGCTTCACTCAGCTATTAGCGAACGAGAAGACGATGATCCACCCATAGCCTTTGTGACAAACAGTGGTAAGCCTAACACGTCGCTATACTTTCTGTATCGTTTAAGCTTGACTTGCATTGGAAGAGCTGCCTTGGACGAAATCCACTCGCCTAGCACGGCATCTTATTCATGGGATGAGTTAGAAGGTACAATCGCGAGAAACAATGCATCTGCTGATAATTGGTTGGCCAAACTACCATCCATCTACCATTTCGAAAAGCCATCGCCGAATTGCCCATTTGTTCGTCAACGCACTAGCTTGGCGTTTCAATTCTACTCGATCAAGCTCATCATCCTTGAGCCGTGTTTGCGACGTGCGATCAAGGCATCGTTCTCATGCAGCAAACACTGTCATTCTATGGCCAGTATGTGCATGCAGGTAGCAGGAAGTGTCATCAACCTTCTTCCCGATAAAGCAGACGTCCGCTGGCTATATGGGGATTGCCCATGGTGGTCCATGGTCCACTACATTATGCAATGTTCTGCCATCCTCCTGGTCGGCCTTGTGGGTCAAATCGACCTCGGGGCATTTCAGAATGCGGCAATAGTGCACAACATCAAAAAGGCTTGCCGATGGTTATATGAAATGTCCAAAACCGATGATTATTCCAAGCGCTCCTGGGGTATCTATAGTGGTTTAGCTGCACGTCACAATCCAGATTTAGTGCTTGTATCAACTTCAATCAATTGACTTCATCATTGATATGATCAAATGATACCCTATCAATATCTGGTCTTTCCGTTGTCGAGCTACGGCTTCATATCACGACGGTAGTACAGTAGTTTGTAATACTACCAAGCAATTATACGCGATTCATACGAGTATTATGACGACGGCTCATTTATTGTACCTGAAATGTGGCGCGAGATAGAAATACGATGATCGCACGAGACGGCAGAACCATAGAAAATACCGGCCCAAGTTGCACGAATGGCTAAAAAAAGTCCACTTTCATGGCCGCAAAGACCGGGCCTTACCAGAGACGACATAGCGAGGCAGGTGCTAATGACTGGAAAGTTATTTCAGTTTGAGCGGTCAGCAAGGGCGTCAGCGCGACATATTCTGGATGACCCTTGGTCAAGTGAGCAAATTGCCAACGACAAGCGGTCATTATGTCGACATTTTGCGTGAGGTCGCTCGCAAGCGAGTGTCGGAACTTGCTGTCTTCCTGTAACTTGCTCAGCCAATGAGGGCATTGAAATCTCTGTCATTTATTACTTGCTATTTCTTGCTATTTATGCTATGCTCATCCTTAGTAATCCGCTCATTCGGAGTTACTATAATTCCGGTTCTCAATCCGTATTCATGAATGCAGCACTGACAGCGAGACTGTGCCTAAGGCATTTCTAGAATTTCTTCGATCTTCAAGCCTGCATGCCGAAAATGGCCTCTGGCGCTTTCTTCCTTTGCACCAACCACATCAATACACCATGTGAGGAAGGCATCAAAACCTTGTTCGGGATTTAACTCATAATATGTCCAATTGCGTTTAATAAAACTTTTAAGCTCAGCAAAGAACCCTTCAATTAGGTTCAAGTCCGGCGAGTAAGGCGGGAGATAAACCAATCTCACCCCGGCGTCCGCACACATCTGCGCAATCCGCTCTGAGTGATGAAATGATACATTATCCATGACCACAACAGATTTAGGCTCAGGCCATTTCCGCAGTGCTGAAGAAGCTGGGTTATGAAATCCTCGAACACAGTGGAGTCCGTTGAACCGCGGAAGACACGCGACAGAACGATTCCATCCTGGGCATATGCAGGCAAGATCTGATATCGCTGATCACGATGGAACTGTGCTACTTGCATTGGAGCCACGCCAAGTGGGGACCATCCTGTTCGCCTGAACCCAATTCGTTTATCGCATCCAGATTCACCAACATAAACTAGGTGATATGATTCAAATTCTGAAAGATTGTGCAAATAACATTCTCGCAGGTCCGCATTCCTCTCCATGGCTTGTTGTTGAGTGATCTTTCTAGACAAGCCTTTGGCAACCAGGGCTCTCCTGATGCTGGAGGCTGTAATTAAGGTCTGGAACTCATCTAAGAGAAAAAAAGCCATCTCATCGAGGTATAAGCCGGGTTTTTCGGATAGGTGGTCGCAGAGCGCTTCGATCATTAGCGGTGTCGCAGTCCGTTTCCGCGATATTTGAGTTGGAGGTGCGTGGACACTTCCAAATTGCAAGTTTCTGCGAATATTTATAATCGTAGTCTGGCTGCATTCAGCTTCTGCGGCCATCTGAGATGTGGTAAGTGACTGGCTCTCTATCAACTGTCGATTCCAAGAGATACGGTACACGCTAGTTCTACAATAGACCATTGATCGGCCTGTTATCATAGAAAATGAGTGTAAATTCTAGGACAAGCTGATGCTGCGCTATTTAACCAAAGCTCATGAAGCGGTGTATGGCTTGGCGAAGTAGCCATCTAGCAAATGAGTAAGCAAAATGGGTGCTGCTAAAACTCGAGTAAGCTAGTACTGTAACGACCACATTTCTTGACAAGTTAACGTGATTCCCAAGCGAGCGGGCATCCCAAGCGAGCGGGCACCCCACCTTAAATTTCCATCCCCCGAGCAACCCACTGTTTTCAATCACGCATCATGCCCCCCAAAACGAACTCAAAAAGCTCAAAAATTGCTTGAGCAAGAGGGCAAGATCCTACTGGCTATAAAATCTATTCAAAATGGTCAAATTACCACGATTGCTGCAGCAGCACGCTCTTTTGAGGTGCCCTGCTCTACTCTCCAAGCCCGGATCAATGGGAGAACCAATCGGTCTGATACACGGGCTAATGGCTATAAACTCACTAAAATTGAAGAAGAATCAATTAAGAGCTGGCTAATAAGCATGGATCAACGAGGTGCTGCTCTTACGATCAGTATGCTAGCAGATATGGCCAATTTATTGCTAAAAGAGCGCGGAGAGACCCCGGTTCAGAGAGTGGGCAAAAATTGGCCAACAAACTATCTAAATCGGCACTCCGAGCTTACTAGTCGATTCTCTCGCAAATATGACTATAAACGTGCTCTGATGGAGGACCCAAAGGTCATCACGGAGTGGTTTAACCTCTTTCAAAACACTATCATCAAGTATGGAATATTATCAGATGATATCTATAACTTTGATGAGTCAGGGTTTGCGATGGGAATCAGTGCGACGACTAAGATCATTACTCAGTCAGTGTATACTGGTCGGAGAGGTGTTTTACAACCTGGAAATCGTGAATGGGTGACTGTGGTTGAATCAATTGGCGCCTCTGGACACGCGCTTCCACCATACATAATCTTCAAGGGAAAAAACTTCATGTTACGATGGTTTGATGACCTTCCAAAACACTGGGCTATCAATCATAGTCCAAACGGATGGACGAGTGATGAAATAGGTGTTGATTGGCTCCAAAACACTTCATTCCGCATACAACAAATCAAACCAAAGGAAAATATCGTCTTTTGGTCCTTGATGGGCATAACAGTCATCTCACACCTCAATTTGATCAAATTTGCGCTCAAAACAACATCGTACCTATCTGTATGCCTGCGCATACTTCCCATCTTTTGCAGCCTCTTGATGTTGGTTGTTTTGCTGTTTTGAAGCGATCTTATGGGAGTCGGGTTGCAGGATATACCTGATTAGGCATCAATTCTATTGAAAAAGATGACTTCATTGATATCTTCCCTAAAGCCCGTGGCGATGCATTTAAAAAGACTATTATTCATAGCGCTTTCGCTGCTACTGGTCTTGTGCCATTTGACCCTGATCGGGTGTTGTCTCATCTCAATATTCAGCTTGCATCACCTACGCTCCCGGATCGTCCATTGTCACAGGGGTCAACCTCAGATAGCAATATCTCAACTGGTATCCCTCAGAACTCCAACCAACTAGCAAAACGCAAAGCTAGGATTGATTCGCAATTGAGTGGGGGTCAAATAAGCTATCTAGCCCTACAAAACGTGAACTTGCGCAATATCACAAAATGACAGTGAAGATGCTGCATACGGTCGTTTTACAGGGTGATGAGATCAAGAGATTACGGGCAGCGAATGCAAAACAAATGAAAAAAAGGGCCAAATCCACAAAGCGGCTATCCTACCAGGGTAGCCTGACAAGTGATACGGTCGCTAAAGTGAGTGGTGGTAGTGGTGATCAGATATATATATCTAATGCACCACCTGGTCCATCACTCCCAGAGGAGCCCCTCTTGCCTGTTTTACCCCCTGTACGTCGTCAAATTACCTGTTCTGGATGTAATCAGAAAGGGCATTCTTTTAATAAATGCTTTAAAGCATAGTTAAGTTAAATATATTCTGTTATGGTTGTTTAAATGGTGTTTAAAAATTGAAATTATTGATGGGGTGCCCGCTCGCTTGGGATGCCCGCTCGCTTGGGAATCACGTTATCAAGATTAGCTTGATTACATAATGTGCAAGTCATTGCTCGGGTTTCCGGTCTTTGCGAAGATGTTTGTTTGTTTTACCGCGGTCGCCAGAATCCTGCACGACATCGGACAGCGTCATTGCTAGCGCACCATGCATGGAGGGACCTCGAAACTGGTGGTTGCGGTTGATATTGGGACCACAAGCACCGTCGTTTGCTGGAAATGGTCGGACAGTAATGACTCCTACGTTCTCAAATTCCCTTCCGACGGTAACGCCAAGACCAACGAGGAATTAGAGGCCGTTCTTGGATGCTCGCAACAGAACTGGTACTACGGGGACGATGCTCGGTATCGGTCTGAGGTCGTTGTTTTTGAACACCCCAAATTGGCGGCTATGGGCCAACAGCCATACACAAAGCTGCTTGAGGAGGCTCTACGTGGGGCTACGGAGCAACGTGGGCTGGCGGTGACCTTAGGGGACTTGTACGAGAAAATTTTCTCGTACATCTGGGATACTCTCAAGGGACAATTTCTCAAAACACCGGAACGCGACCGCTACTGCGGTGATCGAAATTTCGACGAAATCCCCAAGCATTGCCGGGTAACATACCCGGTGCAGTACAATGCATGGCTCAGAATGATACTCGCCGATGCGGCAAAGAATGTGGGATTTCACGAGGTAGATGGAGTTCCGGAGCCTGTAGCAGCGGGCTATTTTGTTAGATCCGAAGCCACCCCCGTCTTGTCGGGCCTGAAAACTATCTTGATACTTGATTGTGGCGGTGGAAGTACTGTGCGACACGCGGGTTCCTATCAATGTTGATTACGTTTGGCTGATGGTGGTCACAGGATGCCGCGACGCTATCCTTTGACGATGAAGGACGAATCAAGCTGGTCTGTCCTACGGATGGTGAGAGCCACAGCATACACATCCTGCACGAGCCGCCGTGCTAACACGCGAGTTAGGGTTCAACGGCGGTAGCCAGATGATCAATGACGCTGTGCGCGATGCGCTGCAGGCACGGTTCCCAGATAATAACTACCTGAGGGACGACTCGCGGTGGGCGAAGCTCTCTCGCGAGATTGATGGACAAAAAACGACGATTTGAAGCCGAAAAGCCCGTCGAGATCGACCTCTTACTCGAGCGCGTATCGATAGACATGTGAGTGTTCTGGGAACAAAAGGTCTTCGAGACTCTGCACAACCCGTTGTGGGTATATCTCGAAACGAATAGATAGCAGGCGCTTTTCACTAAAATCCAAATTTCTGGGCCATGACACGCTAACTGGAACCTCGATAGTGCGGAAATGAAAACATTTTTCCACCCACTGGTCCAAAATACCCTAGCACTATTGCAGAAGCAAGCTACCAGTGCTTCCGAAAAAGGCTTCCCACCTACCATCTTCGTCATGACTGGCGGTCTGAGCCGAAATATCTGGGTTCGCGAGACGATTTTCAGTGAGGCTCGAAGACTGATACCTGGGATTGAATGTTCCTGTGAAATCGCGTAAGTCGGTCCTAACTCCCGCCACCAAAGATGGCGGATTATGTCTAATGCATCTTTCCAGGGCGGAGACTGTTGCCAGAGGAGCTCTTTACTATGCCCAAAACCCAGTCAAAGAGGAAACCGTGGCTAGGGTAGACCTGGGCCTGACTTACTTGGAGGATCGCTCCCCACGTGGAAGACCACTTGGAGGGGACCGGGTGGAAGAAGCGATCGCCTGGGTGATCGTGCGGGTACGATGCTCTTCTACTTTTTTTCGCAAATGTGGATATGTAATACTAACCGTGTTAGGGTCGAGCCGCAGGACCAGAGAGTCGCGTGGAACTTATCAAAATTGTCTATCGGGAGAGCTTGGAGCCTGCGAATAATATCATTTCCTCCAAAGTTTTTACGACAAGTGATCACTTCGATCAAGACCGAATCTGAAGCGAACACAAGGAACGAACTGGATTGTCCAATCACATATCCGATTCCGTCTAATCAATCGCATTTGGACTACAAAGGTATCATTGAGGGTAGGATTCCACACAATGAGTTATTTCCCCACGGAAGTAGCCACAAGAAAGTGGAAGCGCGATTCATCATGTCTGTCAAACCCAAGGGCCAGCTTCTTGAAGCCGTAGTCTATCTCAAGCGTGACAGCAACCCTCCGTTGGAAATTGGAACGAAGCTTGTGAGCGCAGCCAGCTGGGTTCCTAGATCAGAATTCGACGTCGAAACGGAACGCTACGATGGGCATCGAATGTTACCCATTTCTAGCCAAGAGCCAGGAACAGGGGGCGTGAAGCGAACACGGAAAAAAAAGATTTCGCTGGGTAGAAAAAATTACTATGATTCTCCTGTACCGCGACAAGGAAAGTCAAACTTTTCAGCGGCAACTGGACCTGGTCGAGAAAGTATCCATCCGTCTCCCACTGAGGAGATGCCACTGCCTCGTCCTTCCGCTGTTTTGTTCCGAAGACATCTGCCCTCAAGAGGGCGTAAACGTTCATTATCTCTTTAATATTAGTTTCACCATTACTCACAGATATTCTTTCCCGAACCCCCCTTCTTGGCAATATTCCAATACAACTGTAAATGACTGTAAATAATCGTACAGACATAACTTCCTTATCATACGGTCTTGACCCAGAACGTTGATCCTGCAGAAAAGCCAAACAGATGGATGTCTGCTCGTCTGGAGGCGTGACAGAATCTGAATCCCTGTTCCGTCAATCCATCACCCTCTGCATTATGGACGAGGTAGGTGTACCCCATAGAGACAGTACGGTTTTGAACTACGGTTAAAAGTATGCGCTGTTAAAAGTATCAACAGCACAGACTTCGGACACTTTGCTAAATGCTGCAAATGATCCTCAACAGAATATTTAGAACCCGAGGCATCAATTGAGCCCCAGTATACTGGGATGGATCGATAAACCCTAGACGAGCCTGTGCCATTGAATGTAATAGAATTAGAGATATGGACCGGGAAATCGCCGATACGTAATCAACCTGTTCGCCTGAAGCCAGTACGTGTGACACAACATTACTCGTTGATATTCTAGATGACACAACTACAGTCGCTAGTAAAATTGTCCTCACCAGGAATCTCAAGGAAATGAATCCCCAACAATATATGGGTCCACATCTACGGCAACTGGGTTCAAGTCATCTGCCTCTTTCACTTCTCACCAAAGCTAGCCCAGCAATCCGCAAGATGCCTTCCATACCAATTGATCCGTTTTTCCTTCCATAGTTCGTTTGAAGCCACCAAGTGACAAATTCTGCGCTCATGCCGACGGTATAAAGAAGGATTTCGTTGACACGGTCGGGTCTAGTACGCGTAATGTTGTTAGGCACTAGAGGTGCGAGCTGTGGAGGGAAGCGGTCGTTAGGTACTGAGTCGAACGTTCGTTAACTTTGAGATAGAAACGGAGTAGTGCATAGAGTGTCATCAGGGACAATAAATTGCAAAGTCTAATGAAACTCCCCTCGAAGTTCGAGGATGAGTAGATGCCAGAGAGCTCAGACATGATGATCAGAGTAAAAGAATTTAAATAGACCGCGTAAGGAAAAGGGGAAGAACATACAGGATTATTTGACACCAAAAGGTTGCGAATAACTGGGGGCTTCCGTTTACACTGGGCACGCGTAGATGAAAGTTGATCTATCGTCGAGTAACCCTACTTAATCATTTATCTTCACTTTTTATTGGGGATTGAGGGTCACTGCGGGTCGGTGAGGGTGATCCTCTGTAGGGAACAGAACGTCTAAGTCTATCCTTTGGAATGTTTAAACTAAATAAACCAACCATATCTCCAGGATATTTATACTAAGGACTAGACCTGGCTAGGCTTCCGCAAAGCCCAACTTTGGGCCCGGACCCTGGGCCCAAAGCCCAACCCACAGTGGGCCGGGGGTCGAACCTTTGGGCCCAAAGCCCACGATTGCATAAAAAGCTGGTCTTGGCGTTCATAAACCTACTGAGTCATTAAAATAAATGACTGTTTTTTTACAACTGTTCTGGTTTGTCTATTGAATATTGCTATTTCCTTCCGCCTTACATGTATATCAACCAGACAGCTGGTCATATCCATGGCAAGACAAACTCCAGCGACATTTCGGAAGTTATGGGTGTGAGATTCTCAGCAATCAAGTTGTATAATCGCATGCTTATGTATCGCAGCATAAAAATATTTTCAACCTCCCCTCCTTCACTGTCCCTTTTGTCAAAGATAAACAACGCTATCATTGTCGATATGATGGCCTCACACTAGGGCCCCCAGCTCACCACGGCATTGCGAATTTGCTGAATTTGATACTCTAAGCCTACCCACAGATTAGTCATCATATACTGGTCTCGAAGCATGTCTTAAATTGGATTAAATAGACTGGATAGACTGAATGTTTGGCTGATGGCCCCTTGATCGGTAATATATTGTCGAACTGAGGGGTGGTATTTTACCACTAAGAACAGGGATATTCATCAAGTACCCATTCTGTCTCTGTCTCTGTATGGTAAACGGGGTACGCTCGGCATACCAGCGTCGTAACACGCTAGGAACGACTCCTGAGATCTGATAACGCTTCAACAGCAAGATCCCGATAGAACAACATCAATGCATCTCAATGGGACACCTCAATACTAGCACATACCAGTATCTGTCAATCCGACAAGGTACATAATTCTCGTAAGCCTGAAAGAAGGATACCAATAATACAGCCCTCTTCTACGTACAATATGCATATCGCAAGATCGTCGATGTTTGTCATGTTTGTAGAACCGCAAGGTCTACCCACAACCTTGAGGGGCGGGGCGGGGCGGTTCGCGGTTCTTTGCGGGTCCATCTCGAGGCCTAGTCACGTTACTGTTCAGACCGCGATTCACTGGAATCTTACCGACTCCGCTTTCGTTGACCCGGCGACGTGGATTCCCCATGAACCACGACGCTAATCGCGCAGCTTCACCCCTGCACACTAAAAACACCGCCATGCGAATCTATAATGAGTGAAAGATCTTTTGTATCTGTTGTTGAATGGCTTTCTGGCCTTGAAAACCCCCTTGGCGAATCATCGCCATCTCTCACCACGCCTCCTCCAAACCCGACCGGCAAATATCATCACCCTTTGTCGCCGCCCGAGTCACGCAAACGATACGCCTCGATGGCGACCGACCCCGATCTGACACCAAAAAGGCGAAGGGTTGCGCTGCCTGCTGGCCATCACCTTGAAGGGACGCCGAGAGCAAACAGCGTTCGTGATGGAATACCCAACCTCCCAACAGCGTCGCCATCTCGATCGGATCGCTCTGAATCATGGTCTGAATCACAAGCCTCCGGACGGTCCTCGCCCTTGAAACGAATGGTTGCGATGGAATTGGCACCCAATGGACTCGAGACAAAGAGGATGGAATCCGGGGACCCTGGCATGCCTTCTGCGCTGGCCCAATTTTCCTCCGAACTCGATATGTGTAGCATTGGCGTTGGCGTGATATCGGATACTCTACAAGAGGCATTGCAGCAAGATCCCCGCTTTCGTCATTGTTTGCCTTTCATGTTCGCTTCCCCGCGGATCGTGATCAGTACGGACCAACGCCATCACTCGATCGCGTCGACTCGTTGGTCAAGAAATCCGTCAGATGCCAGGACTCGCAACAGGATGAGTCAGGATGGAATATGCTGGTGCACTGTCCACTGTTGGAGCAAGCCCTCGACAATATAGAAACGCAGAATCAATCAATCGGGTTTGAGCCATGCACCACCGCCAAGATCATACAAGAATACCTCCCTACAGGCTTCATGCCGAAAATGGTGGACTTTTGCATGTATGTGGATATAGGAACGGACAAGGCTACGCGTGATGTCAGCAAACGGCTTCGTCAAGAGCTGCCATGCGGTGTCATCAACCACACAGAGTTTCATGCTCTTCGGCAGCGACCCATCACCGTCAGCATTGAGACCAAAACGCCACGTGGAGCGCAACCTGCAGCGGCAGAATTACAAATAAGTACTTGGCACGCGGCACAGTGGAGACTACTCGAAGATCTTGTTGCTCGGACTGGTGGTTCCTTTGTAGACTTAACTTTTCTTCCTGCCGTCATTGTGAATGGGGATGAATGGAGCTTTGCCGCTACGACTAGAGAAGAACAAAACACGGTGCTTTGGCTTGAAAAAAGTTCGGGTCGACCAACAGCCATCACGGAGTGTATAAAACGGTCTGGGGATTGCAGCGCCTCGCAAAGTGGAGCATAGAGGTCTATTGGCCGTGGTATCGAAAGAATGCTTTGGGTCTTTGTGACGGGTGAATCAAAGCTACTTGATTGGTTGATAACGAGTAAGGTGATTTGTTTTAATAATACAAGATACCCCTATTGAATGGATGAAAACACACTGAGGATCGTGATTCTACCCAGTAATTCTTCTGCAGTGTAATCGATCGAGGTAGAAGCACTACCCTAGTGGCAATGGGCAGCGTGGCATTAGAGATACTGTCAGGATGAGGAATTGATGTACTGGCTGGTACTGAACATGTCCAATAGAATCAGGTGATTGATTGTAGGTGTTCAAGATCGGTTGAACGATCTCAGGGGTCTATACAAATAAGCTTCGGCGTGTTACAACACCATACCTCGAATGTGCCCGGAATACCGTACAAATACTAGGGGGAATTGGGTGAACGATGAATAAGCCTGTCCCAAAGGGACCTAGTGGTATTTGACCACTCTCTCAGTTCGTCAGATACTACCGAGACCATGAACAGCCATATCGCAGAGTATGATTGCCAAGCCAATCGTGTCCTTTCTACTGTACTATGCCGCACGGGAATGGGACCCATTCCACGCATTTCGTCCGTGCACCCCACGGTAAACCGTCCGGTGGACAGCAGGGACCTGTCCTGCCATTACACGCAAGTTGTCCGTGCGTTGTCAACCAATCGCAGCGGCCTATATCGCCGTTTCCCGCGCGTTCTTGTCAATTCGTCCGAGATATAGTCGAAAAAGCAATTTGCGTCTTCAAATGCGACGCGTCTCTGAGAATAGGGGCTATCGCGAAACATTTCGTCAAGAGTTCTACAAATTAGTTGTTACAGTATTCAATTCTTACAGTATTCAGTTCTATACCAACTAGGCCTCGGCAGAGCCCGCCCATGGGCGGGGGTATAGAGCCCACAGCCCATGAATGCATAATTTTTCCCAAAAGGATGGATAAAGTGCTGATTCAGCCAAATAAAATACTCATTGTTTACACTTGTTCTGGTCATAACAGCATCGACCACCCCAAAGCAACCCAAACTCCTGTGAAATTTCACGAAACGGTCAAGTATTCAGACTTTTCAAACTAGCTATCCATAATTCATTTCATTGGTCCATAGCTCTGAGTGCTTTAGTGGTGAGATAACATGCGGAGGTCCTAAAGCCATGAAAAACTGTGAAAAGATATATATTTCTGCGCTGCATTTGATAGCCTAGTGCCCATGCATGACCAAAAATTTGCATAATCCTGATCTTGTAAATGATTCCTAGTGAAACCTTCTAGAATTTACTATTTATTACAAACAAATTTACAATTCTAATCCCCTACCATATTGGTTGTGTTCATTCATTGCCTACTATTGTGTCTAAAGCCGAAAATCCTTGGGCTTTGGGACCGGGGGCATCTCTCTGACCTCTAATTGAGGGAAATGAGCGCATTCGTGGGCGGGCCCATGGGCCCGCCCATGAATAGTGGAGGTCCTTTGTTGACAATAGCCAATCAATATAACTAGCAACTATATGTCAAACGGCTCTATCAGCACTTTTAATTAAAAGTCAAAATTGCTTGCTCCTAGAACTGATGCGCCCCTAAGTCTCCGATTTGGACTTATTTACAGAAGAAAGGCGAGTTCTCTACCCTCTGATTTTCCTGTACCCTCAAGGTATCTCACCATGTCTCAATTCTCTGACGCTGGCCCCTCTTCCCAATATGAAGGTGATACAGATAATCTCTCCTTTCCTCGGTCTGACGATGCCTATCTCATTGCCACCGAGCGGCCAAGCAGTCAGCAAACAATCGTTTCAGTCTCAGGTTCACCCTTCCTTCGACCACCACCACCTTCGATTCCTCAGTGCCTTGAGCACGTTGGCCCCAGACGAACAAAGAACTTCATTCTTTATTCAATCATGAACAAGGTGGACTTTATGGAGTGGTGGCTCCAGACAATGGCGGCAGCTGAGAGAGATAATGCGCCGAAAGTCGATCCTAGACGCAAATTTGAGTGGGATGGAACCAGAAAGCACTCGACAAGCTGGGAAAATTTGGATCAGGTGGCACATATTTCCACGGGTACACCAAGCGTGATGTGTAAAAGATGCGGAAACATTCTTGATCACCCGAACTGGAGATCGAATGGAACAAAGTCTGTTAACCGGCATCGGACGACTAACAGGTGTAAATTAGCCTCCAGTCAAAAAGGCCAGCAAGCAAAACTACGTCAGCTTTTCAAGAAACCGGTATGTGCTATCTTCTAACCACTTACTTCAAAATTAATGATTTTAGGACTCTCATACTCGCAGTGAGGTTGAGAACTTCACCAAAGAGCAGTGGGAGCAGCAGATTATCCGAACAGTCACTGTACTCCGGCTTCCGTTCCAAGTTGTCGAAAATCCAGAACTACAAATGCTTTGCCGCCTAGCTCGGGCAGCACCATCAACCCCAGAATTTCCTTCAGCGAGAACTGTTCAACGTCGGCTACAGGAATCCGTGAATCAGGCGAACCAAATAGTCCTTGAAAAGCTTCCTCCAACTGCGAAGCTTTCTATTGCATTGGACTGCTGGACTTCACCATTTCAACAAGCATTTATGGCTATCACTGGCTACTTCATCGATCAAGACTGGAACTATCGTGAAATTCTTCTTGGGTTTGAGCCACTGCATGGAACACACTCAGGGGCAAATCTTAGCACTGTTCTTCTCGAAAGGCTTCAACATCACAAGATTGAGGGTCGAGTATTGGCTATCACAACAGACAATGCATCAAACAACAAAACCTTGCTGAAGAAAATACAAGAGACTTTATCAGCCCTCGAGCTTCATGATCAGTTGTCTATCATCCGGATTCCATGCCTCGCTCATGTTATCCAGCTGAGCCTGAAGAAACTCCTTGGCGAAATGAAAGCCAATCCAATAAACAAGGATCATAAAAGGGAATGGCCTGAAGCGCAAACCGAAGCCCTTCGTGCTGACCGACGACGCAAGGAGATTTCCGGTACCCTGAATAGGGTAAGACCTCTATTCTATGTCTCTTTATCTTGATTCATAAGGGAACATCTATTGATTTACTATTCCACTAGGTCCGTGGCCTCGCTATCTACATCAATGGAAGCCCTCAACGCCGGGAAGCATTCCTTAGTCTTCAGACTAAACCACCCAAGCTGGTTCCTATTCAAGGTGTCAGAACTCGCTGGAACTCGACCTACCTGATGCTCCGCCGTATTAAGAAATTGCAGCCAGTGATTGATAAATACTGCACGGAGTATAATCTCAGGGACTACGAGTTAGACAAGGAAGAGTGGCAACAAATTGATTATCTTGTTTACATCACACTGCCTTTCTATGAGTTTACAACTGCTCTCTGCCAGACTAAGGATGCCACTGTCCATGGTGTCTTTGCTATCTACCACCGCCTTTTTGAACACCTTGACGATTCAATCAGTCTGCTTCGGCGGAAAAAGGTTCACTGGAAACGATCGATGTTGACTGCCCTGCAAGCGGCAAGGGAAAAATTAGAGGATTATTATGGCAAGACGAGTGGGGATCATGGCAACCTTTACGCGATGGGTACGATTCTTGCGCCACAATACAAGCTACAATTCTTCACACAGCAGGAATGGTCAGATAATGACTATGAATGGCGAGACAAATATCATCAACACCTCAAAGATTACCTTGAACCCTACAAGCAACGTCTTTCTGATCTTCAATCCCCAAGAGCGCAGACACGAGTATCGAGGTTTCACCAAATCCTAACACAACCACGGTCTGAAAATCCAAACTCGATATCAAACTATCAGGATGAGCTTCAACGGTTTTTACAGAGAGGTAGGTGCTACTATATATCCTTTTGACAACACTCAGGACCTAATCCTATTATAACCTAGAACCGACTAATATTGAGCCTCTTCTATTCTGGAAGGATAATCAACATGAATTTCCAGTACTAGCAAGTGTTGCACGGGATATTCTCTCTATCCCTGCTACTGGTGCTGGTGTTGAGCGACTGATTAACTCTGCTCGGGATATCTGTCACTATCGTCGAGGCTCGCTCAAAGCAACAACAATCCAGGACCTTATGATGCACATGTGCACTACAAGGTTAGATATTGAGGAGGGACAACTTGGGCTTGCTAAGGAGTTCTGGAGCAATGAAGAGATCGACCTAGCAGAGGAAGAAAAGGATATCCCTCAAGATGATCCTATTGCTCTTATCAGTGACGATGAGGAAGATGATTCAGCATCTACCCAGTATCAGGTCACTATTGAGAAATTTAGCCAGCGCACCCTTAGCAAGAGGCGACGAAGTATTGTGCCTAGTGCGTCGGATTCTGAGAAGGGGAACATGGATGTTCAGGAACGACCTAGTGATGGAGAAGATGACGATGACGGTGATATTCCGTTGCCTCCTATTACCCAGAGGCGTACATCAGGGAGGATGCCGAAGCGAGCAAGACGGGACGAAGAGCTTTTTGTGTATTATGACCCTAGATAAGGAGTAAAATTTCAAATATAATGTCTTTAATCTGACTGCACTATATACAGTATATGATCCTCTCCCCTACTTGGGACTGAGTCTGTAATCCAAATACTCAAAAAAATTCAGCCAAAATTTGCATAACTTATGAATGTCACGGGCTGTTCTTGTCTGACCCACATTTGGGCTGTTGGGCCGCCCATCGTGGGCTCTGGGCGCGCCCACGACCCTTATGGCCCCGCCCATGGGCCCCAGACTAGAGCCCAGCCGCCCACACAGTACCGCCCATGGGTTGTGCCGAGGTCTAGCTATAACCACTGTTGCGAAAATATTGGCTTTATAGGGCTAAGTGGTATGTTTCCATTGATTGTTGCTTAAGCCTGTATTGACCTCAGGCTCACGCGTTCTGTCCTTTAAGGGTATGGTGGAGGGATGTCCAAAAAGATTGTGGCGCCAGCGGGCCATTTCTACCCAATCCCCGAAAATGTTTCATCAGAGGCGGCCTCGTTTATTGAACTGCTTGCTGTTGCGTGGCACTCAGTCAAAATTTCGCTTTTTGAACCTGGGAACTCGGTACTTATTGTGGGCGGTGGTACTATCGGACTAGGCTTATTGCAAGTGCTGAAGCTGCAGGGCGCCAAGAACATTATCGTGGCAGAGCTAATGGATAGTCGCAAAGACCTTTGTTTATATTATGGCGCAACCCATATAATCGATCCAAGGAATACGAATTTTGCCCAGCAGACACGTCACCTAACAGATGGAGTCGGCGCAAATATTATTTTCGACACAGCTGGCGTGGAGAAGGCACTCTTAATTGCGATCCCGGCTTGTCGTACTCAAGGCAAAATCGTCAATATTGCCGTGTGGGAGAAGCGTCCGTCCTTCCCCGTAAACCAGTTGATGTACAATGAGGTCTGGTATGTGGGTGCAGCATTGTACGATGAGGTTTCTTTCTTAGAAACAATTCAAGCCTTGAGCAAGGGTAAGTTGCGCAACGTCTTATCCCCATGAGCCTGGTTGGGGTGCTCGATCACTTCTATGAGATAATCTGACACAATCTAGGTCACCTGAACTCCGAAGCAATGATTACCGCACGTATCTGCCTCGATGAAATAGTAGAAAAAGGTTTTCAGGCTTTGCTAGAGCATCGTGATCATCACTGCAAGATCTTGGTGGATGTACAGTCCTGAAGAGGCAGCTTAGGGAATGTAATAGAAACGGATTGTGTATGTTATATACGTCTATCTTTCTATTGTAGTGGCTGAACGAGGCCGTAGTATATTGCCAGAGATCAAATGTCAGGTGATACCATAAGCTATTTTGACCAACTGGTCCCGGGGGGCGTCAAGAAGTCTATTATTACCCCTTATTTCAGGTGCTAATATAACATTTCTGAATATAACGAATATCTGGAGTATCAATACATCCGATCTCAGAGAAGTATTTGCAAGGAATGCCTGACATATAATTGTTGCCTGGATTATCACAAATTCTTTAGAAATGGCTCCTCTTCCTCGATCAGAGGGGAGGATCATTCAAGCTTCATCCACCGTCCCCATATGACAGAAGATCGAGTACCGTTGTCATCTACATAAGCTACTCCTACCTTGTGACTGAGAGCGGGAGTGGTTGGTTGTGTGCTTTCATCATTAATATCGACCCATCTGAGATGCCAGACTGCTATCTTACCACCCCCATTTCACCATGTCATTAAGGATGAAAACAATTGATTATAAGCCTAAAAGGTGTGTCCGAAGCCATGTCTCTTGCTTCCCGACGTCAGGAGTTGGATAGTAAATGCTAGCTACTTGTATCCATTTCATCAACAGAATTTGTCACTGCACTCGAGTTCTCGCTTGATTTGTCGTGAAAAGCGAGAATCGCCGAATATATGACCGTTCTCCACTCAGCAGTGGAGAGACCTGCTTCACAGTAATCCCAATTAAACTTCTCTGCCGCTGTAGGTTCGTCATGCGGATCATGATACGGTGCGAGATATTGTGTTTTGAGGGTTTCTTCTGCCGAGCAGCGCTTTTCTACGTCGATTTGAAGCATTCCCTCGAGCAAAGAAACCGCTGGATGAGGATTAATTGGGGTTGAAATGTAAAGGACATATCATGACGTACCATCCTCGTTCTTGGTAGGAATCAATTTTTTGAGAGGCTTCTTCGCTTGCTTCGGTAAAGAATGAATGAATTTCAGCGTCTAAAGCTGTCAGTGTCAGGCCCATAACTCGAACATGGTGTCACTTACATTTTCACTGCTCACATTTGCAATTATGTCTTCTGAAGGGCTTCCAAGTAGCTCTGTGATTACACAGTACTGGTCAATATGATTTTTTCCTGGAAACAATGGTCGTCCTATAATCATCTCGGCGAAAATGCAACCTGCACTCCAGATATCGACTTTCTCGTTATAGCGCTTCCAAGTAAGCATAATTTCTGGAGCTCTGTAGTATCGAGTCGAGACATAACCGGTCATACGGGAGTCCTGGGTGCGTGCTAGGCCGAAGTCACAAATCTTTAGGTCACAGTTCTCGTTAATCAAGATGTTGCTCGGTTTAAGATCGCGGTGTATGATGCCCGCTGAATGGATATATTTGAGTCCGCGCTTGTTTCATCTTAGCATTGAGGCTGATTGGATTAGTTCTGAGAACCTCACCATGATTTGATAAACGAAAAGTTGAGTGAACTGGCCGTCGACCTTTCTGGTCTTCAGCAGAGTGTGGAGATCTGTTACCATGAGTTCTGTCACGAGATAGCTTTACGCCTTTAGCTGTGGTCATGTAGAACAAGAGTGGGAGGAACTCGTACATCTGTTCGGAAGGCGAAACAAATATGTCCTGCATATTGATAATCTTTTACTGATTAAGCCACGATCCAAATACCAGGTTGGGTGACGAACATTCTCATGTTTAAGCTCGATAAGCAGCTTAATCTCGC